GGCCACCCCAACACTTGGTGGCACATCAGTGTCAGCCTTAACAGGATAAATCTCCCCAAACTTATCCAACGGTTGTGAACATTCTAAACTAACACGAGTATCAAAAGTGTCCAGTTTATGGGTATTACACAGAAACACACCACTATAACATGAATCAAATATGTACTTTATTCATTTACAATAAATGTCATAATGTACATCAATCTGATTAGAGCTAAGGGCATATATTGTCTAACAGCTCCCACTTGCACTTGGGTCCAATCTGATATAAGTCGGAGTCCCATACTTTCCATGTGTTTCTCAAACACTTTCTGTGTTAGTGGCTTAGTCAATGGGTCTGCCACATTCTCTGCTGATGCTACCTTTTAACATCAATCTCCCATGGATTCAGTGTTGCCACACAACAGTGAAATGGGTGATGTGCGGAATTCCAAATTCTGGAATGAACACCTTTATTCATTAGGCAGCCTCACTTATGGCAATGTGATCGGCTTGGGTTGTGGACTTGTTATTCTTGCTACTTAGGACCCCCTGTTTGCTGATTTTCAGCAAACAACAGACGATCCTATCGTGAAAACATATCCAGATGTAGACTTTCTATCATCTGGATCCGACTGGAAATCGGCATCAGTATACCCCTGGATCTGTAGTGAACTACCATCGAATACCAGACAAAACTCTTTTGTCCTTCGAAGGTACTTAAGTATATTTTTCACAGCGGTCCAGTGCTCCTGCCCTGGGTTGGCCTGGAATCTGTTTACCACACTCACTGCTTAAGCAATGTCAGGACGAGTGCACAGCATGGCATACATGATGCTCCCTATGGCTGGGGCATAGGGAACGCCCTTCATGCCCTCAATCTCCTCACAAGTCTTGGGAGACATCTTCTTGGAGAGAGTGATTCCGTGCCTGAAAGGAACATTTCCCTTTTTGGAGTTCTCCATGCTGTATCTCTTGACTATTTTGTCAATGTAAGCAAATTGGGATAATCCTATTATTTGTTTTGATCTATCTCTATAGAGTCGAAGACCTAGTATATAGGAGGCTTCTCCAAGATCTTTCATGGAGAATTGTTGTGAAAGCCTTACTTTCACCGTAGTCAACATTCCTACATCATTCCCAATGAGTAGAATGTTGTCTACATACAGAACCATAAACGTAACATTATCCCCACTGGACTTCCTGTAAACACAGGGCTCATCTGGATTCTGCTCAAAGT